TTCAAAATCAAAGAAAAATAAAAAAATCTTAAAGATTTCCACGTTTCCACATGCATTACATGATTCGGTGTCAATTTCTTTCATTTCTGTTTGACAAAGCAATAATCGATTTTTGGATAATGATAAATATATGAGTCAATTAAATTAAAAAACTAAATACAAACTTTTACATAAGAAAATAAATAAATGAAATTACAAACATTATATGCAAACTGTAACAATGTGGCACATAGGACATAAGTTGGATTCGTAAACAACATCTGCAAGAAATACATAAAGCAAAAGTATTAGCATAGTTTTTCAGTTAAATAAAAATATTAAACGGATTTAAACCATCTAAATTAAATTATAATACAATAAATGAATGAAATCAATTGAAAAAAAATTACAAAAAAACCAAAAAGAGAAACGAAAAATGAAAACCAAAAACAACTCGAATGGAACGGGTGAAGAAGAATAGTGTAGGGTAAAATAAATAGATGGGGGTTTATATAGTTTTGATAAGTATATAGTAATTAGGAAATTTTTTTTAATTCAAATTTTAAATGACATGATTATAGGTGGAAAAAGAAAAAAGAAAAGGTAAGAAATCAAATCAATTCAATTCGGATAATTTGATTTCTATTGATTAGGAATTAATTTTAAAATATTAAACAATATTTATGGTTATTGAATATTTTCATTAAACTAACTATATCAATTAAATATAATCATCTTAAAGAGGTAAGAAATCAAATTTCATATCATAAAATGTATATTTTGATTTTAGAAAATTTTAAAATAAATAAAACCTACACGTTTTTTTTTTCTTTTTGTCTTTCTTTTTGTATTTTAATAATAAAATTATAAATTTCATAATATATTATTAATATGTTAATTTGAAATCGAATTTTAATGCATTATTAAACAATATTAATACATTTTTTTTAATAAATGGATATTCGAATATTCCAGAATATAGAAAATAAAAAAAATAAAAAACTGTATTCCTTTATTTTAATATTTAAATATTAAAAAATATTTTTTTTTCTGAAAATTATTTGAATATTCGTAAAAAAAATTGAGTCTACTGATTTTTTTTTTTTTAAAAAGGCTGCCAATAAATATATTTTGAAATACTGGAAATGTAAATAAGATTTTTAATTTCTAATTTATAAAATATGAATTTTGGAAATAATATATATACACGTGGTAATTGTTTAAATGAGTGTATAAATGTTAAATAGGAAATAACTTAAATACATACCAAAAGAAAATTGACAACTCACTAATTGAAGAATCCATCTCATCAATTGAACTCCAACTAAGCAATTTTGATAAATGATATCATCATTTGCCACACGGCAATCATTGAGGACATAGATCTCTTTTTATATTATATATAGATATGACAATAGCAATTTATATGCATTAATATGAGAATGTAAAATATTTAAAAAATATACTATAATCTAAATGATCCGCCATATCAAAACACCACTTACAAAACTTTAAAACATAGAACGTTTCAATATCCGAAAAAGGAAAAGAAAAAAAAACAACATATTGTTCAAAATGAAATGACAAACCAACGTCCAAAAAAAAATTATAAATAAAATAAAATAAAAAAAGTAAGCATGAGAATGATAACTACTCCGTTTTCTCTAGCTTAATTTTTTTTATCAACTTGCTGGTTGAGTGCTGCAGTGTTGGATCGTCGTCTACCTTTTGAAAACACTATCACCCGGTCGCTTTGACGATGGAGTAACATAAAGTACTTCACAATCATTATTCTCGGACAATGAATACGAATCCTAGCAGAAAAAACAATGTTTTTAATAAATATATTGACTTTGTATTGATTTGTAGCTTTTTTTGAATAACGAATGAGAATATGTTTAATCTACCTTTGAGGATATAACAGGACCACCATTATAATATTTACACTTAGGGAATGTCCGCCGTTGTTATGATTCTATGTAAATAAAAGACAAAAATAATATTAAATAGTGATTAAAAAAACAATAAGTAATAATGCAAATTAATCAAATGTACATACCTCATTCAATTCATAATGTTACATAAACGAAGTAATGATAGAATTATCAAAACAAACTTTTTGAACACTTGAATCTGCTGGATTGTGTGCATTCTTTTCCAGAACGTTATTAGAATAACATCATTCTATCAATCAGAGCATCAAGTTCTTTTGGATATTCCAAATCATCGTCTCCCTAATTAGTAGAAAACCATGTATATTATTATCAAAAAACAAAAAATAAAAAAAAACAGAAAATGAGTTTAAACATATGTACGTACGGACATGAAAAAAATCACGAATGCTTTTACCATCTTATGTATACGCTGAATTAATGCATTGACGGAAAGATCCAACCTCCTTTCACGGGCTGAGCGCAAACAACTGTTTTGATCGTCATAAAGTACAAACGACTTTGTACAATAAACTGCATAAAAAAATTAAAAAAAGTATATTAAAATTAACAACCTAAAAGAAAGAACGACAAATAGTACTCATATGTATATATAAAAATAATTATGAATATAAAACTATGCTAATAATTATAATAATCTGTAAGAAATGATGAAAAAAAAAATGTAATATGAAACTTTATAATACGAACATTATGCACTTTGTAATGGAATGGTGGTAGATAAAAAATGAAATCGATGTGAAGGGGTTTAAATAGTATTGAATATGAATTTTATTTTATGAAAAAATAAAAATTCAAAAGATTTATATATTAGTAAATGAAATCAAATCAAACAAATAAAAAAAACAACCCTAAAATAATAAGACAATAACTTATATAGAAAAAAAATCTTGCAACATAACAAAAATTAAATATAAAGACACCATTTTTATTTTTTACCATTGAATTTTGAAATAAAGAGTATACAAAATCAATCAAAGATGATATGCAAGAATCTTGCAATATTGAAGAACCTTTTTTATTGGTGATTAGATATTTTACATAAATTAGTCATTCCTTATTAAATATGTAAAAAATGATATGCGTGTAATTTGAAACAAAACAGACATTTTAAATTTTCTGAGGACAAAGATTACGTAATAAATAATATTGTTGTATTGAATGACAAAGATTTGAAATCTAAAATTTGAAATACGCAATAATAGAAATTGGGTATAATTGATACAATCTTTGACAATTATTTTATGTATACCTTATTTATAATTTGAAATATACCGTATTTATAATTATAAATACGGTATATTTCAAATTATAAATAAGGTATACATAAAATAATTGTCAAAGATTGTATCAATTAAAATTTTAAAATATTGTACATTTATTAAATAGTACAATTATTTTTAATTTGAAATACGGCATACTAGAAATTATATACAAAAAATATTGTATATTTATTAGATAGTACAATTAAAAAAATAAAACATTTTTTTATAATTATTTTTAATTGAATGGATATTCGGAAATTCTAAAATATTGAGAGAGAAAAAACACAATTGTATTCCTTTATTTTAATATTTGAATATTAAAACAAATCTGAAAATTATTTGAATATACGTAAAAAAAAATGAGTATCATGATTTTTTTCAATAAATATATTTTGAAATACTGAAAATATAAATAAGATATTTTTATTTCGAATTTATAAAATATTAAAATTGGAAATAATATATATACATGTGGTAATTGTTTAAATGAATGTACAAATGTTAAATAGGAAAGAACTTAAATACATGCCAAAATAAAATTGACAACTCACCAATTGAAAAATCCATCTCATCAATTGAACTTCAACTAAGCAATTTTAATAAATGACATCAACATTTGCCACATGTCATTTATATAGGGCATAGATCATCTTTTTATATTATCTATAGATAGATTGTCATATAATCACATTTTATGTGACGAGATATAGTTTTGTCCTATAAAGTTTATGGTAATGTGACAACTTTGTATTTTGTCACAGAAGTTTGTTACTACCGTGACAAATTCGCAATTCATCACAAGAAGTTGTAACAAGACGATTCTTTTTGTAGTTGTTTAACTTATCTCATCTCATCTCATCTTCTATTTCGTCTATTTAGTAAAATTGTAAATCACGTGCGTAGCACATGGTACTTACTATTAGCTTAAAAAATACAAATTGGTTTCCAGAAAAAAAGAATGAAAATGAGATAGGAATAGAACCAAGCATTACCTTAATATCTTAAAGCAACTCTAATGGAGGCACTAAATGAAGTATCAAACCAAAAAAACTACCACTTTGATACTTCAAAATTAAAAATCTTCTTCCAATGGAGACATTAAAGTGAGAATTATTTTAATACTCAACCACCCCCGAGGTGCAAAAATACTCCCTGGGAAATGAGGTATAAAAAATATAACCTCCCAATTAACATATTACTATTAGACACGTGTCATTTAAAAATATAATTATTCATATACTTAAAATTTGATAATGTAGTTAATACTTGTGATTGAAGTGAATTTTTTTTCAACAAGTATCAATGTATTATATGAAGCATTAAATGAATATTTAATGCTCTATTTTGATGCATTGGAGTTGCTCTTACAAACTCTTAATTACAACGGTTGTTGGTATTCCGTATTCGTATAGAATATATTGGTAATCATAAATGTGATACAGGAGTATCTTTATCTAATGAAATTGCAGAAGATAAAGAGCTTGTTAAATCAGCTTTCTCTCAGTCAACTTTATATTTAATCATGTACTGACTCCTAATGAATTTAGGGGATGAATCTTATATATGGTTGGAAATAAAAAGTTTGTAATTTGCATATGCAGATCAAATTGATTGAAATAAAATTGAAGTGTTAGATTTTTCTTATTATATAAGCCATATATGTATCTCTTATCGAGTGGTGAGCCAAATTGTAGTTCGCTTGTGTTATCTTCTCTGTTCTCAATTCCCGGCATCAAAATGCTTATTCGTTTTTTACATAGTGACCTAAAAACATATAAATAGTGTAAATAAATGCATGTCGATGTAGTACTTCAACAACAAAAACTCACATTTTATTTCATTCCGTTACTAACATTGTAGAAAGCAAAACATATATATAGAGACCATCACACACTTATTATTATTATAATATATATATATTGAAATAACAAGTTCTAAGTTTTTTAGCCAGAGATGTCAATGGCTTTGACCTCAGGTTTCTTCACTTCCGCCTTCGGAACAGTAACAGTAAGCACTCCATTCTCCATATTAGCTTTAATCTGATCCAGCTTTGTGTTCTCCGGCAGGCGGAAGCGGCGGAGGAACTTGCCGGAGCTCCTCTCGAGGCGGTGCCACGTGTCGTTTTTCTCCTCCTCACGGCTGCGCTCGCCGCTAATCTGGAGGACATTTCCTTCCTCCACCTCCACCTTAACCTCCTCCTTCTTCAGCCCAGGAACATCCGCCTTGAAGATGTGTGCCTCCGGCGTCTCCTTCCAGTCAATGCGTGACGTCTCGCCGGAGGAGCTGAGAGCCAACTCGCGAAATGGGTCCCACAGGTCGAGGGATAGTGGGTCCAGGATGTTGCTCTGGCGACCAAAAATGCTTGAGATTAGCGACATTATGTATTTTTTCTTTCTGATTTAAACTGAAGGTTTTTTTCTTAATGTTGTATTGAATTTTTCTTTAATCTGTTTGAATGTGTTGTGTGCTGATTGAGAAAGGAGAGAGCTAGAGAGGTATTTATAGGGCAATTTTCTGTTGGTTAAGTTATTTCATAGAAGTGTTTAGAGAGTTCATGAAATGTACGGAGAGAGAAGAAATGGAACAACTTTGAAGTTCTAGGAAATAGAAGAAGTATCTGGACTGATCGAGCTTTACTAATTATTTGCAGAAATCTACGCGTGTCATTTCCGCTATATTTTGTGGCTAGATCATTTTTTGTTAATTGACGATTTTGCCCCTCCACGAACTTCTTGTTTGGCAATTGGACCTTTTCAACGATTCATTGCGACATTTAGTAGTAGCTTGTAGAAATTTGAGATTTCCCTCCAACTTTTTCTTTCTGCTTTAATGTGGTTCTCTTGTATTCAATTCAACCTCTTGAAGATGCCCTTAATTATTTACATGCACAACTACGTTGCTGATGACACAAGCTTACAAGCATAATTCATAAAAGTGTAAAATACAATTTTCACCCTTGTACTACAGCCATTATCGCATTTATCCCTTATAATATCAGAAAATACAAAATACCCCTCATCATCTATAACCGCTAGCCATTCCGTTAGTAAAGTCTCATGTGGCACATTGGCTATTAGCTGTTGGAATTGATTGTACAATTTCGCCCTTCATAATATAAAAAATATATTACAAAAGTATAAAAAAATAGAAGAGTTCAAATAAACTCTAATATTTAATTTATGAGTAAGTTCTATCTTAAAGGACTTTTACAAGGCCAGTTGAAAGTCCATGTTGAACAGGACACAACAACACCCGACAAATTGGAGGCCACCGGACATAAATGTTGTAAAAATGAATGTCGACGCTGGTTTTCACATTGGCGAGAATTTCTATTCATTGGCTTGCGTAGCGCGTGATTCCGAGGGGACTTGTCTCTGGTGGGGGTTTACAAAGTCCAAGAGCGACCGAAAGCTATCCAAGTTATGAAAGCTTTGCAGGAGAAGTCCTACACATTGTCATCTTTTGGTGGTTACATAGAAAATTGGCTTTCGCTTGTTTGTTTGTTTAGCTTTTGTCGTTTTGATTTTGTTAAACGTTCGGGTAATTCTCTAGCCCATGCTCTTGTTAAGCATTTCGGCTATGCATGTGCTCAAGGGAGCCTTTGGACTCTTTTGGCAAATATTGCCTAATAATATTGCCCATCTTTTCCTCAAAAAAAAAAAATAATATTTAATTTATGGCAAATTTGACTTAGATCCTCAAATCCAAGTTTCACTACATATAAGTCCACATTTTAACTTTCATTTCAAATAAACTCCATAAAAATATTAATTCCCCAAAAGGCGAGGCAGATGGACTGCCTAGCAACCGGCCGGGCTGTTTTGGGCCGATTGGTGCGCGCGCGCGCGCCCGAGCAAGGCTGATCTTCAACAACCGACTATGAGGACGGTTTTGAGGAAGTTACGGAGCGGTTGAGGGCTGGAAAGCATGCAAAACTGCCCATTATTACTTGTAATAGTTAGCCAAGTGTTAGACTGGTTTGCTGCCAAGTGTCCCTAGGTAGTTTTATGTGAAAACTACCTTCTTCCTTGTATTTATATGGCTTTGAGTGCATAAATACGACCCATCTAGCATTAGAGAGTTCAGATTGCAATTGTGGGCATTCTGAGTGAGGATTTTGTGTGTGCATCTTAGTCTCCTTTGTATTCTTTGTGGAAATTAATATAAAGGTTGGGCATTGCCCGTAAACGTGCTTGTGTGTTGTTTTCCATTACATACTCTTGTTATTGTTTACGCTGGCTTAAAGACTTGTGTTTGTGCGTTTTGTATGAAGAGAATCAAGAGGAAGGCTGACTGATTTGGTGGGCAAATCAGGTCACACGGGCGAAAAATTCTTGAGGAAAGAAACCCCTGTGACAGTTGGTATCAGAGACAGGTTTGAGGGTTCTGAACGTGTTGATGTTCGGCATGGCTGAAGATTCTGGATCTTCGACAATCCAAATCCTACTTGTCTGATGATGCTATAAATGGAATCAAGGTTGCAACGTCTTGAAGCCTTGGTTGAACCGCCCCTAGATCTAACGGATCCACCAATCTTGCAACGACTTGCTGATGGGAAACAAGAACTCGATCGTTTGTCAAGATTGTTGGATAATCTGCCTCAGTTTGTGGAGGGCAGATTCACGTCTGTTGCCGAGGAGATGGACTCCTCATTGATGCCGTTGAGACGATGCTTGAGGGAATGCTTACAGATTTGACGGTGTTAAAAAGGGTTGTTCGAAATGAATGATCAAGTTCTGAGGGCAGAACATCGGGATCCAAAGTTCGTGTGCCGGAACCGACTGCGTTTGATCGTGTGCGCAGTGCCAAAGAAGTCGAAAACTTCGTGTGGGATATGGAGAATCACTTCGAGGTAGCCAAGGTTTCGGATCGCGATAAAGTGACCATTACATGTATGTATCTAGTGGGTGATGCAAAGTTGTGGTGGCGTGCTCGTTTGTCATACGATGCAAGTGCTAATCGAGTAAAGATCGAGACTTGGGAAGTGCTGAAACGGGAATTGAAAGAGCAATTCCTTCCTAGCAACGTGTGCTGGATTGCAAGGGAATCCCTTAGGCAATTGAAGCACAAGGGAACCGTGCAGGAGTATGGCAATGATTTCAGTTGGTTGCTCCTTGACATACGTGACATGTCCGATGAAGATAAGATGTTCAACTTCATGGTTGGATTGCTGCCATGGGCCCAAACCGAGTTGTGGAGACAAGGGGTGAAAGATCTGCCAAGTGCTATTTCGGCAGCAGATCGACTTGTTGATTACAAGGTGATGGGGGCCAATGTCTCTGATAAGAAAGGCTCGAAGAAGGATAAGTCCAAGGGAAAGAAGTTCGGTGGCAATGGCCGTAATTGGATGCAGAAAGAGAGCGGTAATGACGAAGGATCCATGGTGCAAACTAAGCCGGGTGGACAACTTGTCGTCAACAAGCAAAACCGTGGTTGTTTTCTATGTGATGGCAACCATCGGATGATGGACTATCCTAAGAGGAGCAAGTTGAATGCTTTGATGCGGGAGTCTGATAGTGAGGAAGAGTCGGAAGAGACGAGGCGTGCGAATCCGATTCAGTTGCTGAGTGATTTGGTCGTGGACAAGGCACCCAACGGCACCAAGGGCTTGATGTATGCTACGGTGCTGATCAATGGCAAAGTAGTAAAGGTGATGGTTGATTCGGGAGCAACTCATAACTTCGTTGCCGAAAGAGAAGTCAAGAAGTTGGGCTTGACTCTCTCGAAACATGCAAGTCAAGTTAACGCTGTAAATTCAGAGGCGGGGCCGGTGAGGGGCAGTACCGATGTTGATTTAATGATCGGTTCTTGGAAAGGGCAGTGCAGATTGACTGCCATACCACTAGGCGATTTCGATGTGATATTGGGGCAAGAGTTCCTATTTGCTGCCAAGGCTGCGGTGATACCGTTTCTCGGAGGATTGATGATTATGAACGAAGAGTGTCCATGCTTCGTTGAATGCTCGTACGTGACTTAAGCAAAGGAGGGAAATAAACCGGTAGAATTGTTGGCTGCGGTGCAATTGGAGGCAGATTCGAATGACGAGGAATCATCAACAAATCCAAATCCTACTCGTGTGATGATGCTAGAAATAGAATCAAGGTTGCAACGTCTTGAAGCCTTGTTTGGACCGCCCCTAGATCCAACGGGTCCACCAATCTTGCAACGACTTGCTGATGGGAAGCAAGAACTCGATCATTTGTCAAGATCGTTGGATGATCTGCCCCAATTTGTGGAGGGTAGATTCACGTCCGTTGCCGAGGAGATTCAACGTAATTGTATTGCCGTTGACAATACATTTATGCAATTGTTCTGCCGTTGACAGTAAATTAATATATTATTATTATTATTATTATTTTGTTATTTTTTTTATTTTGTTTGATTTGTTGACAAATCAACGTAATTATATTACTGATGTTGACAGTAAAATAACTGTAAACACAATAATATTACCGTCAACCAGATCAATATTATTATTTTTTTTGGGTTTTTTTGTTTTGTTTGAGTTATCACGGAGTAACGTAATAATATTACTGTCTATTATTGTAATACTGTAAATACAATAACATTACTGTGGTTGACGGTAATATTACTGTTGTTATAGTAATATTGCTGTCAACCACATCAATATTATTATTTTGTTTGGGTTTTTTTGTTTGTTTGAGTTATTCACGGAGTAACGTGATAATATTATTGTCTATTATTGTAGTATTACCGTGGTTGACGGTAATATTACTGTTGTTATAGTAATATTATTGCCACTCACAGTACAATATTAATTATTTTGGCTTTTTATTATGTTTACATTTGTTGAACGGTCAACATAGTAATATTACTCTATTACACAATAATAATGAGTTTTGTTGTGTTAATATATTACTGTGCTAGAGATTAATATAGCAATGTTACTGTGTTAAACTATAGTATAGTTAATTTTACTGTGTTTAACAGTAATATAGTTAATATTACTATCAATCACAGCAATATTGATGTTTGAACGAGAAAAAAAGGATGTTACAAAAAGAAATAAAGAAAGAAAGAAAAAAAATTTCGAAAAAGTCAACGCCGGATACCGGTGGCGGAAAAATCAGGAGAAAAAAAAGTCAACGGTGGTGACGGATGAAATTGTTCATAAAAATGTGTTTTGGGTCAAAATTGAATAATTTATGAAATTTGGGGTCAAATTGAGGTTAAATTAAATTAAGGGATGATATTAGAGCATATTAAAGTATGAGGGGCTATTTTAGTCTTTTACAAAAATCTTGATCATATGTGGACTTTTTTGTAAATGAGTTTATTATCTGAATATCTTTATGAATAAGTATCTATTGATGGGCTTATTTATAAAGACCCCCATATATATTACAGGGAAAATTAACAATAACCCCCTCATCTAGGAAATGTAATTAAGGAAATCCCCCCTGCCAAAAATAATTAGAGAAAACCTCTTTTGCTATTAGTTTGGATACTTAATAAAGGTAATCTCCCAATTATACCCTACTCCTAACCCTAAATTTTAACATCTTTATCTTACGCCGTTGTTATTCTTTTCTTTTTCTTCCCTCTCTTCTCTTCTCTCTTCTCTCTGTTATATTCTCTCTTCTCTCTTCTCTCGTT